AATGAGCACTGGGGGAGAGGCAGCACAGAAAGGTGACGTGGGAATGGAGGAGAAAGGGGAGCTGCACAGTTAGCAAAATAGAGAGTTTGTGTACTACAGAAAACTACATTTAATTTAAATTTGTATCTATTAACCCTAGAAAATATCGATGATGGAAAACGTTCATTCTGACTTTCTACAGGGGCTCTTGGTAAAAAGGGATTCAAACACCAGGGGGAAAGGACAGTTTTACTACAGGACAATGGCTCTGGCCAATTAATGGCTTTTGCCTTATAGAATCATAGAATAATCATAGAATCATAGGACAGGAAGGGACCTCAAGAGGTCATAGAGTCCAGCCCCCCGCCCTCAAGGCAGGACCAAGCTCCGTCTACACCATCCCTGACAGATGTCTATCTAACCTGTTCTTAAATATCTCCAGAGAGGGAGATTCCACCACCTCCCTTGGCAATTTATTCCAATATTTGACCACCCTGACAGTTAGGAATTTATGTACTTCCCTTTATTACTTTTGAGGGTCTCATGTAAAGAGCATTCAACGGAATGGTTCTTTCAAGTGCTCTGTAATCCACACAAGATATCTTAGTGTTGAGCAGGAACTGATGCACTTACAAATGGTCTGTGATAAGTTTGACATATCAGCAACCACCATGGGCTCAGTGACCATTGGTGTCCGATGCCTCTCTATTTCCTTCCATCTTTCCCTGTCCAGTGTACAGTGGCTTAGTTTCTGTAGACTAGCTCCGCACCAATCTACTACAGCTTCTCTCCAAGTTACAAACAAGTTATGGACCAAACACTTGGCCATAACTCGAGCTGTTTGTAACTCGGACCCCATTGAGTTACATGCGACCGCGCTCTGCGTAAGCGCAGGTCGCGTTTGTAACTCAGGGACCGCCTTTACGACCGCTACGTGGGAGCTTTGGTCGTAAGTACGAACGGTTGTAACTCGACCTTTCGCAACTCAGAGAGCAGCTGTATATAATCTACCTATTCTCTATAGGGTCTGCCTCTCCTATTCAGACCATCCATTATGCCAAATACCAGGGTCTTCACTTTTCTCTCATTGTTCATTCTGCAGATATGCCCGAATAGCTGTAATTTCCATTGTATAACCTGCAGTAGGTACTCTTTCAGCTGTATCTTCCTATATAAATTCATCATTGACCTTCTGCAGCCATCCTATTCTCAGGATCTTTCTATAACAACTCCTCTCGAATGCCAATATCCTGATTTTATTCATATTGTTGATTTACAATCAGCATATCGACACTCATCTGACCAACCCTCCTCCTTTAGCCAGGCCTGGGACTGGCATGAAACCCCTACAGCCTTCCTAGCAGAGTTTAAATTTATGTGCCACTCTGAAATTGAAACCAAAGAAATACACGCAGATACAAAAAGTGGAAGCCTGTCTTGAGGAAAACAGATGTTTCCACTACAGGTAAGAATATTACTCTGACTCCCCAGACGCTTGCAGCTGTGCAGTTTGGAAGAGCTCTGCTCCTGTTACAGGAAGTTCATTGATGGGTTTGCAAATAGAGCAAAGCCATTGCATAGCCGGGGGGGAAAGTGAAACCAATCCCATGATTTTGCTTTCAGAGTTAATGATACTTGTGACTCATCTACTCTCCCGCTTACCTGCAATTCAAAACACCAGACACATTAGTGCAGGGATGTCGAATACACTAGCCAGATATGGCTAGTTGGCTGGTAGAGCCCAGGCTAGTTCACTAGAGCAGTAGCTACTACAGTGGCTACTGCTTTAGAACTGGTTGGATGCCACAATGCTAGGCTATGTCTAGATTGCAGGCTTCTTGCCCAAGAAGCTTTTTGCAGAAGAGGTCTTCCGCAAAAAAAAACTTCTTGCACAAGAGCATGTCCACACTGCAAAAGTGCATCGGAAAAGCAATGCGCTTTTGCACAAGAGGGCGTCCAGGCTGCATGGATGCTCTCACAAGAAAGCTGTGATTGCCATTAACAGAATGGCCACCAGGGCACCTGTGCTTCTTTTGATAGGCTGTTTTTGCACCAAAAACCCCATTTCCCATCCACACCCACCTTTTTACGCAAGAGCTATTACACAAAAAGGCTTATTCCTCATACAAAGAGAAATAACTTGCACAAAAAACCCTCTTCTGATTTACTGTAAATTTTCTTGCACAAAAATGCACTAGAAGCGTGGACGTTCTGTGAGTTTTTGTGCAAAAACTCTACAGGCTAGATGTAGCCCTACTACTTAGGTACTGGGGCAGTATTAGTATATGACCAAGGCCTTAAAAAGGAAGCTGTTTGTTGGTTTATGCACTCCCTACACTGGAGATAAGCTAAGGACCCCAGCAAACACTACAGTCCATACAACAATAAGGGAACACATTATACTCTGTCAGCTCCCCCTTTTGTGTTGGCCATTTTCCATAGACAATTCCAGGACTTCATTTTCTTTTTCAGATGCTTAATGTGTTCAAGGTCAGTAGGACTCTACAGTGGATGTCCCTAGTGCTCGAGGCTTGTACCTCTTCATGGGATCTGGAGATTTTGCTTAGCCTGACTGTTTCAGGGTGAAGGTGCACACTAACTACAGGCACAAGTGTGCACCAGTAAGGTCGCACTGGAGTCAAACACAAAATTGCTATTGAACTGGATCCTGTAAGAGAAGGTTGGACAATTTTGGATGGTGGGCCACTTCAAGAATTTGGTAAGTGGACAAAGGCCACACTCTTCCATGATATTAATGGAGATGTGAGGTATGGGATGGAGGTTGGGTGCAGAAGGAAGCTTGAGACAGTTGGGGTGCAGGCAGGATTTTGGGTAGAGGAGGGGGTTGTAAGCTGGGGCAGATGTTTGGGGTGCTGGGCCTGGGAGAGGACACATGTGCAGAGGGTTGTGACTTGGGGCAAAGAGTTGGTGGGAGGGAAGAGCTGGGGTCCCAGATGCAGGCTCTGGCCAGGAGGCACTTACCTAGACGGTTCCCGCTCAGCAGGTCCCTTGGGAAGTCCCTGCCTTTCATGCCCCCGCATGCTTTTTGGAGCTGCTGGCTACAGAGAAATACATGGTCCCTGAGTACCACAAGTCCCAGCAGGTGTTTTGCACACTGTCTGCACTTCAAACACAGCCCAAACAGCTTCCCATTAGTTTCCAGCCAATGGGAACTGCGAGATTGTGCTGGGGGGAAAGGCAGTGCACAACGCCTGTCCCCAACTGCTCAAAGCAGCTCATGGTCCTTGCAGTCAGACAATTTACGCAACATGCAGAGGCAGGGTAGGCAGGAAGATTGCACAAGCCTCCCATTGGGCAATGGGCTGGATCTGGCAGCTTGTTGAGCTGAATCTACCCCATGAGTTGTATTTTGCCTGCCTCTGCTATATGATCACTATAGTACCTGAAACTGACTCCCTCCTTGTCACTGTACTGCTTTGCAGAGACTACAACACCATCAATGAGTCAGGGATGAATGTCCATAAGCAGGGCTTGATAAACAGCAGTGAAATCTGCTCGCCAGCCCCGCACTCCGCATGCGCAAGACCCGCATTGTGCATGCGCACGCTGCCGGTGAACAGGGCGACTGGTTGAAATCTACTCACCACGGGCAAGTAGATTTAGTGATTTGTCAAGCCCTGTCCATAAGAAATACGGTACTGAGAGAAAGGTTGAATGGTATGCAGTAAATAAGGCATACGGCTATTCACTGAATAAGGGTGAAATTAGTATAACAGAAAGCATCATCCATTCTATGCCCTGAAAGGGGCAAGGACCCAGTTTAGCTTTCAGATCCAACTTTTGAATCCTTGACATTCAACCTTAACATTCATTCAGTGTAGTTTGTGTGTGTAGGTTTTTTCTTTTAAAAAGCAAACCAAATCCATTATGCAGAAGCAGGCATCTTCCAGTCCATTTCAGGTTTTGACGCAAGTATATATAGAAATTAAGGGTCTGTTACAAGATGCCCATGAATCTGTGTTTCCTACTGCTAGTCTCCTGCCTCAGGAGAGATGTTCCCCCTTCTCTCAGTTCTAATATCTAAAGCTATGTCTACACAGTAGCTTCATTTCGGAATACCTGACGTTATTCCAAAATAACAGTACACGTCTACACTATAAGCAGTTATTTCAATAATGTCAAAATGATTGAGCTGGAGGAATTCTTACTCCGGCTTCTGTAACCCTCATTTTATGAGGAGTAAGGGAAGTTGGAAGAAGAGTGCTCTCTCTCAGACTTCCTGCTGTGCGGAAATAAGCTATTTTGACTTAAGCTACACAATTGACATAGCTCAAGTTGCATAGCTTATTTCGGCTTTAGCCCTGCTGTATAGACATGCTCTAACAGCATAGCCATCCCTGTGGTGAGAGCATCCTGCTCAGCACCTGCTACTCTGGGATGGAGCAAGCTCAGTGCAGACTGGAAGCTGTCAAAGAAGTTTCAGTAAGTGCAGGCAACACATTTTCATAGGGCCAGCAAAAGGCATAATGCTATGCATAAGGCAACTCCCTCAAATTTTAGCACCAAATGATGGAGACAGTAGAGCTTCAATAAAAAAACTGTTTAAATATCAAAAATAAATAAATAAAAGCACAAATATGGGCCTAGAAGGGATCTGGAGACATCACCTAGCCCATTCCACTCAGGCAGGACTAGGGATGTAAAATCCTGATTAAAAAGTTAACTGGTAAAACAAAATGCTGAACATTACAGTTAACTAGGATCCTGCAGCATGGCAGGCCTGGCCACGCCAGAGCAGACGGTGGGCCCAGCCACTCCAGCCCAGTCAGGCCCTGGTTAACCAGTTATTGTAACCAATTAACCAATTACTCATTAAAATCCCTAGGCAGGACAAAGTAAAACTAGACCATCTCTGACAGCTGTTGTCTGAACCATTCTTAAAAGCCTCCAGCGATACTGACTGAACAACGTCTGTAGGTAACCTATTCTTGTACTTAACTATCCTTAAATATTTTTTTTAAAAAAAACTGAATCCCCCTTGTTGCAAACTAAGCTGATTATTCGCTGTCCCACCCTTGCTGGACACAGGAGAATGATTATCTTCAACAACTTCTTACATGTTTGAAGATTGTGTCCCTCAGCCTTTTCATCTCTAGAAGAAACACGCTTCATCTATCAGTTCGATCTCCTTTATCTGAGATTAGGAAACAGGTTTTTTTACTGTATTTTTCCAAGTAAAAGCGCTCTCATGGAAAATTTTAGCCCAAATAGAATTTGATGAAGTTATAAACACTCTTAACATGTTAGGTAACACTTGGCTTCACTATCATTTGTTAGTGTATGAACTTTTAGTCCTCTCCTCTGAAAGCACCAAACATGCAACTTACCCAGAAAATCAGAAGATTCAGAGTTATTGAGAAAGTAGTTCTGATACAAAATGTCTATAAGATTATTGCTATTTAATTATAGTTTTCATTGGTATTTTAATTTTGAAATATTACTCTGATCTTTTGGGAGTGAAATATGAAAATTGATATTGAAAACAAATGCACCTGCATTCAACATTAGTATTTACAATGTGAGATTTTTTTTGCATATATCAGAAGTAAAAATAAAAACCAGTATTAGACAATGCATATAATACATACTAATTTTTTAAAGACAAATTGTCAAGATTTTCTGCCATGGGAACAGTAACTCCAAAGACCTTAAAATAATTATCTTCTTTAATTGCTCTTTTTATCTTGGGTGTTCCGCTTTTAACCACACTGCAGAAAATTACCGCATTAACTGTTCTGCAATAAAAGTGTTACCTTTTGCTGAAAGAAAGCATTAAAGGCAATGCAAAGATCCTCTCCCTCCAAACCTAGCTATAATTTAAAGAAATTCTCCCTTGGTTAGCCAAGTATTAGAGATTGTATGGAGTCAAATCAGAACGTAAATAAAATGAGTTTATCAAAAGCTGAAGCAGATCCAACTGAGTATGCACACTTAGTTGAAAAGGACTGAGCAAGAATACTGAACAGGTGCTCCATCAGAAATTTTGCAGCATACTATAGTGTGAAATATACGGTGGCCCATATCAGTTGCTGAATTGATTTTAAAAGCCCTCACCAGTGCCTCCAACACACCAAAAATGTAACTAGTCAGAGCAGTTTAAAAAAAAAAAAAAACCCCTCTGACATTAATGCAGTTTCATTCTACTTTATCTTCATCCTCTGCAGCATAGATAGCCTGATTCCGTCTTTTAATTTTCTTCACGGCACTGTTTCCATTCTCATTTTTTCCAATCCGCTTTAAAGCTTTTTCATTTAAGCTCCTCTCTTCAGTCTGCTCACTCATAACAGATTTCTCCAGGTCTTCATTAGTGGAGTCCATAGCATCATCAGAGGATACCAACATGGAATCTGGCATGATCCTGGTGTCAGAAAAACTTGCTGAAAAGTCAGGAGGGTGATCAGGAGAAGGATCCACAGAATGTGTACTCTGAGCTTCCTCATCATCCTCTTCATCCAGCATTATTTCATCTGGGTTAATAGATGAAGACAGCCCAGAATTATCTGTATAATATTCACTGGGTTCCTCGGCTGACTCAGTGCTGTCCATTTCCTCTTCCTCCTCATATTCTCCCCGAACTGCACCCTCTTCTTTCAGTTGCTGAATCCTGTCGTTCATGTCAGTGAGGCCAAACTGGGCACAAAACTCAGTGGTCTGTGGATTGATTATATGAACTGGCTCCATATTTTTCTGCGGTTTGCTGGGGTCATAACAAGCAACTGTCATACTGAAGTTACAAGGAATTTTGAGATTATGGTTCAGCTTTTCCAATACCTCTTTGAGAGCTCCTTCCGTTACACTGTAATCCCACCTGCAGGAATAAAAATAATGTCATATTATCTTGAGCTCAATTAGCCAAAACACATTTCTTCCTATTCCTATTTTAAGTAGGGATGTTAGCTATCAGTTAACTGAGTAGTCAACTAGCCACGTGAATTCTTAGCAGATAGTCAACAGTTCTATAGTCCCCAGGGGCGGGGCCAGCAGCCAGTGAAGTCCGGCCCCACTCCTGAGAAGCCCCTTGCCATCCTGCGCTGCTGCCTCTCTATCAGAGGCAGGGTGCCAGGCAGGATCTGGTCCACGAGGGGAGTCAGTTTAAAAACCAGCTCCCCTCATGGACTGGCTGCCTGCTGTCCCGCGCTGCTGCCTCTGTATCAGAAGCAGCAGCACGGGGCGGCAGCAGCCCCACCACAGGGGGTCCAAGGCTGGCCACAGCATACTCCTGGGCTGGCCGTGGACAAGGGCTGCTGGCAGTAAAGCAGCCTCTGGCTGTGGGGGGGAGGGAGGGAGCTGGCCTGGGCTTGCTGCAGGCAGAGACTGCTTCATGGCAACTTCCCCTGCCCCTCCCCCACCTTGGGGGGGGAGGGGAGGGCAAGCAGTACTGCGGAGCTGGTGCTGGAGGGGACTGACTTAAAAGCCGGCTTCCCCCAGAACTGGAGGGGGGGAATGCGAGTAGTCGACTAGATTAACTGGTAAACCTAGGCTTATCGGTTAATCGACTAGTTGACTACTCATTCACATCACTTTTTTTTTTTTTTTTTTTTTTTTATTTTTTAAAAGATTTAAAGAAGTGCCTAATTTTTATTTGTCTGGCTTCAGTTTCCAGCCACTGCTTCTTATGTTTCTCTCAACTAGATTAAACAGCTCTTTAATACTCTGCATTTTCTCCCTGTAAGGGTACCTACGCAGTAATTAAAACTTCTCTTAATGTTTTTTCATAAATTGAACAGACTGAGCTTTTTGAATCTCACTGTAAGGGATTTTCTCCTTCCCTCAAACTACTTTTGTGGTTCTTCTCTGCACCCAAATTCATCATCATCCTTTTAATATTATGGACTCCAGCACGGATCCTGCAAATACCATACACGGAGGCGAAATCTAACTTGATTTGAATAAATTTAAAAAAAAAAAATACTCTAGCAGCACCTTAAAGACTAACAACAACAAAAAACACGAATGAATGAATAGTTCTAGCAGCAGCTGACTATTCCTTGTTTTTTAAATTTTTCCAGTTACAGGCTAACTCAATTACCTCTCTGAAACTTTTGATTTGAACCACCTTGTTAGTCTTTAAAGTGCTGCATAGTCCTGTCTTTTGTTTCAGCAAGACCAGACTAACACGGCTACATCTTTATTAAACTTAAATTCTTATTCAAATCAAGAATAGTATCTAAAATATTTGGAAGTCACTCAAACTGATACAACTACTGGAACTTTTCCCTTTAACTGAAGTATTATCTAAATTTTTAGGCTACAAATAAAGGCACACAAAGACTACAGATTCAGTTCTCTGAAACTCTGTTGCCTTTTAATGATGAGCCCCAGTAGATGAGATGCCATTAAAGGAAGACAGTTAATGGTTTCTAACTGGTTAACAACAAAGGCACAACTACTTTATGCTAAAAATTCCAGAATGCCCATCCAAATATTGTGGCCAACTACAATACAGTGAATCCTGTGGATAGATTGCACACATTTAGATATGCTAAACTAACCCAGATAGATATATGTTAGTTACTCTGAATGGAAGCATTTTTCTTTAAACCAAAAGCTCGGCTTTCTTATGGAGGCATATACAAATACTGGTGGGACTGTCTGAAGAATGGAAGTTTCTACTCAGCATATGCATGAGCATTAGAGATGTTAAGAAGCGGGTACTTGGGTAACCATATAATCTCTGAAAATGTCTGTGGTTACATTCACCTGCAGCCAGCTCCCTGGGAGCCGGTGCATGCCTGGAACCAGCTTTTAAGACGGCTCCCAGCACATACCAGCGCCACTTGGTGGCCTTGCTCCCAGGGAGCCAGCCGACACCACCCTGTGTTGCTGCCTCTGATACAGATGCATGCCGGGAGCTGGCTCCCGCCCACTCCAGATTCAGAGCCAGTGGCACGGGGTGGCAGCCTACGCGGAACCATTCATGGCAACGGATAAACCGAGAATTATCAGTTAACCGTGTAAACATGTATCCAATTACTTCCTAACACACAGTAGTGCCAGTGAAACTGACATGACAAAACAAGGGAATCTAGGGATGTTAAAAGTTGTTTAAGAAGGTAACTGTATCCGCTAAAAATCTTAGCAGTTACATGTGCTGAGAGCTCTGCAGGACCAAGTTTAAATACTGCAAAGCCAGCAGTGAAGGCTCCCTGGCAATGGGGCTGCCAGCCCAGCTCCCCAGAGAGGCTTCACTGCCACAGTGAAGCCGCTTCCCTGGGAGCGCGGCAGAGTTTAACCAATAACATCAACCAATAAGCATCAGCGTATTGGTTAACCAGTTAAACTCCAACATCCCTATTCTTAACCCCTCAACCTGGGGAGAAAACCGATCAAATCACAGCAGCAATCATCCCGGAGCGCCTGATTTTTCGTTAATCAAGAATTACACGAAACAAATCAGCATAACGAGGAACAGGAAAGTCACAACAGAGGTAAACCTGAACTTGCACGTTAAGTAACAACTGATTCATTTTCTGTTGGGACGGCTGTATCACCACAATATACACAGATGGGCTGCCCATCATTTCAGTTTTGTGTAAGACTTTCTCCAGTCTAGTAAAGATGAAAATTCAGCTCTGCACATTTCTTCCAGGCAGCATGACTTTCAAAGGCTGAGACCATTTCAGTCCTTACATGGATAAACACCTCCATGACCCCCACATCACGATTGCCTCTTCTCTGACCCATGGTTCTGACTGCCCTTGTTGGGTCGTAACAACCTTCCACCATGGTGGAGGCCTAACCAGGGGGAACATGAAGGCAGCAGGCCACTCCCTGCCCAGCATGCCCCATAGGATATTGCAGATGCCTGTCCGAATTGACCACCACAGGAGGACCACTCCATACTTTGAGCCAAAGCGTTACAACTCACAACAGAACCAGGCTCTGCACTGGCAAGCCATCCAACTCCATGATGAAAGTGTGGCATGGAGAGCCCAGCTGGCACTGCATGCCACGGAAAACCAGATGCCACAAGAGCAGGGGCCTGGCTGAAGATCAAGAATGTTTCACTGAGAGTTTGCATCACCACCGCACACCTCACTCCGGCCCCCAGAAGATACTACTTCATCCACCTTCTCTCCCCAATATCCCAAATCTCTCTTTTCCAAAGTATGTGCATATTTTCAGCTCAAAGAAAGCTTAAACCCAATATTCATTTTACTTACTTTGCATGGAGGCCATTGTTTTCAGGCATGTTCCATGCCTTTGAAGTCACGTTAATAAGACTATTAGTAGCCTTGAGAACAGCAAGCCATTCAATGTCATACTCCAGAGACTCAGATGCGTTGGGGTCATGGTCTATATCTATTACCTTAGAAAAACAATACTGACACATGAGGCATTTCGGTCATCTTGACAGAAAGACATTGTTCTCGCTTTTCACGTTATCTTTAGGCAGCCAGTTTTTAATTTAAAGCCCACTGAATAAAGCGGGGGGAAGGGGGGGTCTGTGAAAAAAGTCTCTAATTACACCATCACATACGACTATCATAACGCAAATGTAAAAGAAAGCTAAATTAAGGCCGCATAGGCAACCTAATTTCTATCATTTCCAAGCTTCTGAGTGCTTGATGTTAAAAATAAAGTTAAAGTTGCAAAGAGTTTGTGGGCAATATATTCAATAACCTGCTGAGGTGGGCGCATCTGAGATTATAGAATTATAGAGCTGGAAGAGACCTCAGGAGGTCATCAAGTCCAGCCCCCTGCCCACGGCAGGACCAATCTAAATCAACCCAACCAGGGCTTTGTCAAGACGAGACTTAAAAACCTCTAGGGATGGAGATTCCACCACCTCTCTAAGGAACCCATTCCAGTGCTTCACCCCCTCCTAGGGAAACAGTTTTTCCTAATATCCAACCTAGACCTCTCCCACTGTAACTTGAGACCATTGCTCCTTGTTCTGCCGTCCATCACTACTGTGAACAGCCTTTCTCCATCCTCAGGAACCTCCCTTCAGAAAGTTGAAGGCTGCTATCAAATCCCCCCTCACTCTTCTCTTCTGCAGACTAAATAAACCCAAATCCCTCAGTCTCTCCTCATAGGTCCAGTTGCTCCAGCTCCCTAATCATTTTGGTCACCCTCCACTGGATCCTCTCTAATGCGTCCACATCCTTTCTATAATGGGGGGCCCAGAACTAGACACAATACTAGTGTATTGTGGCCTCATTAGGGCCGAATAAAGAGGAATAAACATTTCTCTGGATCTGCTGGCAATGCTCCTCCTAATGCAACCTAATATGCCATTAGTCCTCTTGCCTACAAGGGCACACTGTTGACTCATATCCAGCTTCTCATCCACTGTAATTCCCAGGTCCTTTTCTGCAGAACTACTACTTAGCCATTCAGTCCCCAGCCTGTAACAGTGTTTGGGATTCTTCCGTCCCAAGTGCAGGACACTACACTTGTCCTTGTTGAACTTCCTCAGATTTCTTTTCGCCCAATCCTCTAATTGATCCAGGTCATTCTGGATCCTATCCCTGCCCTCCAGAGTATCTACCTCTCCCTGTAGCTTAGTGTCATCTGTGAACTTGCTGAGGGTGCAATCCATCCTCTTATTCAGGTCATTAATAAAGATGTTGAACAAAACCAGTCCTAGATGTAGATTAACAAGCAAAAGTGACTTTTTGGTCCATCAGTTTCCACTGATCTCAAACTGGTTCATTTAACCCTTCCCTGAGGGTAAACAAAAGGTAGCAAGGAAGGAACAGCTGCATCTCCATAGAATGGTAGTTACAGAATCATCCCATAGGCAAAATAAGAGCAGAGCTGCTTTTCTCTTTCAGATCGAGAAGAGAATTCACTGGGATTCATTCATCCCCTGTGTTATACGATTCTAAAAGAGGTCCTGGGCCTTTTGAACACAGCCTTGAAAACACACAACTGATCACTAGTGCATCAGTCACTGTTTTTTGTCTAGAGTACTAGCCACTGATCGTCTTCCCTACAGTTACGTGTAGGACTGACCTTGGCAATGGTCTTGACCTTTGATTGTAGAGTAGTGCTGCTCTGACACCGATGGCAAATAAGGCCACTGTAAGTTTCCTCCTATGACATGGCCTGATTTGGGTCAGCTATTGTGCTGAGCAGTCTGTGTGGCCTCTTGCCACAAAGGGTAAAGCTCACTAGCTGGAGAGACACAATGATCTAGTGGACTAAGCCAGGGACTCCTGTGTTCCACCTTCCATTTCAGAACTAGACTCTCTCTCTAGTTTTGTATGTCAAGTTCAAAACTCAAACCCAAACAGGCTGGAGATAGCTGAAAACCCACCAGGGTCCTGTTTGCAGAAAGTCAAGTCTTTAAGTGGTCAGTCCAATCAGAATTACTACTCTATTATTTCTGTGTCTGGTGATGCGTCTACCAAGGAACTTCACTATCAACTTAACCCTGCAGTCCTTGACATAGCTCAGTCATTAGCCAGGCTCCTGCTGCTGTAATCCCAGCAAAACCGGTTCATGTGACAGCATTTGCATAGTGAATGCTGAAGCTTTTGCCATATATGGAATAATTGTATCCCCTTGATTAAAGCCTCTCATGCTGAACGGAGGGAGCATGTCCATGAACCAGTGCCAGATTTGGGAATGCGAGTGCAACAGGGCTGGGCCAGGTAAGCCACTTCTCACCTGCCCTAGAAACAAGTCTGACATCAACCTTACTGCAAACTGGGGAAGAGACAGCGATCTACCACCTTGGCAACTTGGGTCTTTTTTGTTTGTTTCTGTCAGAATGGGGCTAAATTTCCCAATAGGACGGAAGGAGATGAAGGAGGATAATCTGGCTTAGCAAGAATTGAAGACATTTGCCAGGCCATGGTACACAGAAGAGGAGGCTCTCTCAAGGAGAAATGGGACAGAAGTGTAGTTGACTTTTGCCAAGCTCAATTTTGTTGACTGTATCAGTTTGTCTTGATTCATGGGGCAGGGACCATTTTCTTTTGCACATATACAGTTCCTAGCACAATAAAGTCCCAATGCCAGATAGGGCCTGAATAACCCAGAACAGAGGTGGGGAACCTCAGGCCCGGGGGACGGATGTGCTCCCCAGCTTGCCTGATCTGGCCCGTAAGCCTTAGGGCTCCCTTCCCAGCATTGGGGAGCCTGCACTGGCACTCCAATCTGTCCCCCCACTGCCCGACCATGGGGCTGGAGCACACAAAATCTACTAGCCTAGGCCCCCTAGATGCTGTAGACTCTGGCGTGCGAGGAGAATGTGGAAAGAGTCTCTCTCCTTCTCAGTCAGGGACCACGTCCACGAGGGTTGTTTTTTTGTTTGTTTTCGGGGAGGGGGGGGGGAGGGGTTGTTGTTGCTGTTTTTTGCTTTTCACTTGTGTGTGGCCATGAATGATTTTTCTGTGGGTCAGTGGCCCCCGTCCCAAAAAAGGTTCCCCACCCCTACCCTACAGCAATACACCCCTACCCTGTTAAATAATTTTCCTTTGGGGTTTGTGCACTGGATCACCAGCTACTTTTAAAAATCACCCTAGATTAATATTAAAGTTGGTAGAATGACTGTCTCCATTTTTCCACCTTGCCCTGGTCAGATTCTCACCCCACAAACTCCTGCTCAAAATATCATGAAATAAAGACGAAACCAAGCCTGTGGTGGGGTTCTCCCTATTCCTTCGCAGGACCGACTTAGGAAGTTTACTGTCCTCAAATGTTTTTATTTATATTTCCCCTGGGCTTTTGTTTCATGCATTTTACAGCAGCCTTCGGTTACTTAGCTATGGTCTTCAAAGACAGAAGAACACAAGTGGCAGGGGACCCAGAATAGCACCCACAGTGAGATGTGGAGTATCATTGCACCTGCCCAGGAAAGAGATATTGTGACAGTTCCCTCCCGCAATCACCACTTGCGTCAAGGGTGGGCGAGAGAAGTAATGTAATTTTGATCTATACCAGCAACAAGTTACTACTACTACTCTCCCCACTGATCAGCATGTGAAGGGGGCAGTGCAGAAGCTCTGTGTATTCCCCACCCTTGTACTCTAGAGTAGTAGTAAGCAAATACAAAGTGCCCCTCATCCCTGTATCCTGCCACAAGGTCCTGGCAGTTTGTACAGGGGCATATGGAGGGATTCTTATAATCCCCTGTACTTCTGTGCAGCTCAAAGGAGCCCCTTAATTTTCCATTATCCCATTAAATCCTCATCCTGTACATGAGCCGCAACTGAGAGATTTCATTATCTGGGGATAGAAGAATCATTCTTCAGCTTGCTGCCTATCTGTGCACTCCCTCGCCGAGATATATCAAGTACTAAGTGGTAACAGTGGTCTTACCTGCAGAAAGTCTCTGTGTGGCAGACATTTATCCAAAGCCAAAAATTTTGTTGCTTTTGGCAGCTGTCCTTCATTGTTTGCCTAGGAAACAGGAATGAAGCCATTACTGCAATGCTAGATTCCCTGCAATAGGACTTCTCTAATAATCAAATTATGCATGGAGACTCCAGAGCAGAATTTAAAGTTTTAAGTTTCCATTAAACAGAATATTCTAAATTCCTAAAGATTAAAAAAAAAGGGGGGGGCCTATGGCACAAAGAGGGAGAGCTTGAGCAGAAGTAAGTGACACCAATAACACTGGGGGGCGGGGGGTGGGCGCACCACAAGTCTCCTTCAGCTGAAGCAATCAGGTGTAGTCAAACACACAGGCCTTATTTCATCAATGCAACATGCATCTTCACACACCTGGTGAAGATGCAATAAGTCAAGCGGAGAGCACTCAGTCGACTTAGCTTCTGCCTTTCATTGAGTTTAATTATGTCATTAGGAGAGCACCTATTATCAACATAGCACAGTGCAGACGCTGTGTTAAGTCAACGTAAATTACGTTGGCTTAAGTTATGTAATTTACATAGCTTAACTTACATCCCTAATGTGAATTAGGCCACACACTGAACTTCAAAAGGGGCTGTTCTCATAAGGAGAAAGATTTGCCAGGAAAATTGGAAGCTCTTGACAGATGAGAGCTGCCAAAGGTTTGTTGTTATACTGTTTGGTCTACGTCTACACTGCACACGCATTCTTATGCAAATAAATTTACAGTATAACATCGGAACAGAGGGCTTCTTGCATAAGAAGGCAGTGCGGATGGGCAACAGGGGTTTCTTGTGCAAGAAACCCCTATGGCTAAAATGGCCCTCAGAGCTTTCTTGCACAAGACTGCGTCCACAGTGCCATGGATGCTCTTGCACAAAAGCACATCTCTTGCACAAAAGCACATGGCAGCATAGACGCACTCTTGCGCAAGACATTTTGCGCAAAACAGTTCTTGTGCAAAAAACAGTCAGTGTAAATGTAACCTTGGAGTTTACCAGCTGTTAAGGTGCACAATGAGAATGCAGCTAATGACCTTATTAGTTTGAATTACTATGGTTGACAAGTAACTACAAATAAACCAAAAAGTTAAAACCAGAAAACCTGCTGGGTTTAATCTGGGCTATTTATGAACTCTCCCTGTCTGCTTTGACCATTGCCACATTTCAGGCATCCAAAAGTGATACTTATCTCAAATAACCCAAAGGTTATCTTCCTTTGAACTGCTCTCTGCCCTCCTCCTTCACTGTGGCTATGTCTACAACTACAGGGTTCTTGCACAAAAAGGTGTGTATGGACACTCAACAGAGGTTCTTTTTGTGCAAGAAACCCATCAGAACTCTCTGTCTGCTTCCCAAAACCAATTGCTTCATTTTAAAATTAAATTTCCTAGTTTAGCTACCTTAGCTTGTCCAGATACGAGGGCAGAGTAATTTAAAACCAATTTTTTCAAACTACAAAAAAAGGTAACAGTTCTACAAATAGCTTTAAAAGTATCTTAAGTTTAACAAACAGAATAAGTTAAAACATACTGGCTACGTCTAGACTGGCCACATAAGACGGAAGAGGCATGCAAAGCAGGCAAGTCAGAATAGGGAAATCCGCGGGGGATTTAAATATCCCCCGCGGGATTTAAATAAACATGGCCGCCGCTTTTTTTCCGGCTTGGGGAAAAGCCGGAAAAGAGCGTCTAGAATGGCGCGATCCTCCGGAATAAAGCCCTTTTCCGGAGGATCTCTTATTCCTACTTGCAAGTAGGAATAAGAGATCCTCCGGAAAAGGGCTTTATTCCGGAGGATCGCGCCATTCTAGACGCTCTTTTCCGGCTTTTCCCCAAGCCGGAAAAAAAGCGGCGGCCATGTTTATTTAAATCCCGCGGGGGATATTTAAATCCCCCGCGGATTTCCCTATTCTGACTTGCCTGCTTTGCATGCCTCTTCCGGAGAAGGGGCCAGTCTAGACGTAGCCATTCTGTCTTCATGAGTTAAGACTCTTAGACTATGTTAAGCCTTTGATTGTGAGGGTAAATTAATAGGTAACAGACGACCTGGGAGGACTTTCCATAAGCTTTATGAAAATACATTTCTGAAAGTAAAAGCAAATACATTTTTACAAAGAAAAGAATGCTTGTGTGGATCTGGCTCCTGGCATTAGAAAGTTCCTGAGATATTCAGATGACATGCTTTTGTTTATTACCTGGTGTTGCATTAAAGCCGCAAATTTTACGTGCAGATGTGCTGAGAACCAATAGGTGGGTTGAAAGTGCTGCAGAAGCTCTGAAGCAGCAGGGCTTCCCAAAGTATTGTTTTCCACTTCGTGGCGGAAGAAAGATTTCATTTTAAGAAGCTGTTTCTTGTTTCCATAGTGATATATACTTCGTGGCCAGTCATGTGACATAAATACATCCATAGGGTGCTTTAGCTAGAAAACAAAAAAAAATAATAATAAAATAAAATAAAATAAACAAACATAGGAAAACAGCAGTACCTGAATGACTGCTAATGAGGGGCGAGCATACTTGATTCTTTATCTGATTTTGAGCTGACTTTGATTGATGGCCTTACTCTCTAACCTCTGAGGTTATACCACTGGATGCAATCTTCCAGACTGCCATAGAGTTTGATCTTGCGTTCTCTATACTATATGGTTTGTGTACCACTTTCTTGCTTTCCTTGGGACACCAAAGACAGCTAGAAAAAAAAAAATCACAAAATGCAAAGTTACAGTGGCAATTGCCACACTACCTTAACTGTCTCTGAAGGGATGGCACCAGCAATTGAGAATGATAGCACCTTACCTTCCCTAACCAGAAACACCATTCTCAATGCCCAACTAGTCCAATGCAACATTTCCGCAGGCAAATCCCTACCCTATCCCCAAGTTCACACACTGCCTCCCTACCTTCAGTGGGTCCCTTATCCTGCCTCCCTAATGTGGAAGCAAGCTCCATCCCTGGAGTGCAACACTCCTAGTCCAACAGGCCATTGTGCTCCGTGCAATGGGTCCGATCTGAGAAGTACTTGCTGCAGATTTGCAGTGATCCTACTTTACAAAAAGACCGAGGAACGATCAGGACTGTCATCTCATTCAGGGACTCCTTAGGGCAGGGATCAAAGGCATCACTTACGGTTACATGGAAAGTGTCACTTTAACTCTGCTTTTAATTCAGGGAAGTTAATTGCTCCCTATGCTCTATAGGCAGGAAACTGAAACCTTGTGTTAGCCAGAGAGAAACTTCCAAGGTTTGCATGGGACAAACTAAAAGCTCCAGTGCTAAGCATGCACCAGCTTCTGCGGAAGCTCTGTAGCTTTCACAGAGGCTCCTCCCCTTTGAGGATCCATGACATCCTAGAAGAGCAGACATGGTACTTGAGAGGTCCCTGTTGCCCAAGAATACAGGTACCATAGTGCTGGAGTGAGACAGACAAGAGGCCCACAAAGGCCCCACTTCCACCCACACTCAAGACTCTTTGCTCCTGCCATATCCTCACACCTCACAGGGAAGCTGGAGCAGGCATCCCTACTGTCCTTCACAAGACGGCCTCCCCAAAACACACTTGCTGAATTAAAGTCAGGAAATTCCATTAGAAGTTTTGTCTAAAAAAAAAAAAAAGTAAGACTGATTATGTTGTATTCCCCTCCTCCCACACGAAGGGCAACCCTATGCCATGCCTGTTATCTTTACCTCAATCCCTGCACAGCACGTCTGTTAACAGTCCCAGGCTCTGCACCGCTACAATAAACATCCTTCAGCTTCAAGCTGATGAGGTGACCACAGAAACCCCACTAGCCTCCCTCAAGACTTGAACATAAAACCTTAGCTACAGCCTCCAATTTCTCCAACACACTGCACACTTAAGATGTTTACATAAGTCTCCTTGAATATTAGTTGATATTGCTTAGGATGTAGTTAAGAATTTGCATCATGCTGAGACACACGGCACAGTGTGTTTCCTCATCAACTGAAGGCAGCAGTTTACCCTTCTATTGTGAACAACAAAGCAAACTTTGTGTCAATGTCAGCAGGTATCAAAAATTAGATCACCAACATCCTCATCTCTAGATTAGCCTAATCTCATGCAATACTATCTACCCTCTTTAAAGGAAAGCTTTGCCCCTGACCTGTTTAAGTTTGAAGACTTCAATATTTCTCACGTGGTATGCACTTCTTATAGTCTGCTGATTGTATGGAGGACACTCAAAATGACCTGAAACAGATCAAGAAAAATAGTTCTCAAAGTAATGAACAGCATTTCTCTATGTTTACATCCACTTGGATGCCTCGAGAAGACGCCAAAGCGCTCAGGCGCTCAGTCTACTTTTGCAACAGAGCTGCTTCAGTTGCACATGTTATTTTGCCAATAACCTTTCATTCAGGAAGCAAATACACTCCAATACGCTATTTTAAAAACAGAAACAAAGAATCCTTGACGTGGCCTAACAGTTTGCAGGGGACAAAAGAATGCATCTGGGGGCTTTTCTGCACCAAACTACATTACTTAATACAATTTACAATTAAGTCCCTCTGAGCACTGCAAAAATTTCAGAATTTCTACTAGTAGGAAAAATGTGGATAAATCTCCGCAACATTTCCATATAACCATGTATCATTCTCATATAACTTTGTATTAAGAGAAACTTTATAAGTCTTTATATAGATAGATCTTTTATAGGTCTTTACTTCTTGTAGACCATAGAAACTTCGAATTAAGCCCTTTATGTTATAGGCCTTAGGAATAGGAAAATGTCTTTTGCTAGGAGTAGAATAGATCTCTCCCCTTTCATTCATTGTCCTGTTGAAATGAATGAGGCATGAATGGAGAATGAAAGGTGAGCACCTCTAGCAGCAATTGCAATGGTGGAGAGGAGCTGGGAGCCAGATCCAAGACAATACCTGTGAAGTAAGCTCATTGAAAAGAAGACTGGACACAGAGGGATAGCTCAGTGGGTTGAGCATTGGTCTGCTAAACCCAGGGTTGTGAGCTCAATCCTTGAGGAGGCCATTTGGGGCAAAAATCTGTCAGGGATGGTACTTGGTCCTGCAGTGAAGGCAGCAGACTGGACTCAATGACTTTTCAAGGTCCCTTCCAGTTCTAGGAGATAGGCAATCTCCACTCATTAAATTAAATCGGATTACAAGAACTTTAGAGAATCTGTAAATTCTCCAACCCCCACAATAAATAGAACACCTAATAAAAAGTATGCATGTAGTCTTAATTTCAAGAGGTTTCTGAATGTATGCGTTAAGAATATTACCTTTTCTGTAATCATGAGACTTGAAAATGCCAGAAATTCCACCAATTCTTACACCACGATATTTTACTACTCCTGCATAACCTAGAATGAGAAGAGATTCAAGTACAATTCTCTACATATACAGGAAACCAGAGAGCTTTCAGGAATTGTAATCTGGTCTGTTCAACTTGAACACAATGTGCACTAGAAATGAAAGAATTTGTTCAGATAAAAAGCCTCAGAGAGGTCGCCATGTTACTATGTAATTTTAAAAGCAATGAGTAGTTCTGTGGCTCCTGAGAGCAGTGTTTCTCAAAGTGGTCCACAAAACCACTCTGAGAAACCTGCTAACTGTCTGCTCTGATGTGTTTATTTACCAGCTCTGTAACCATGGAGCCTCATGGCTCCCATTAGCAGCCAAGGGGAGCCATAGGAAGCAATGTGGCCCAGGCCAGGCCGCTAGCCTAGTGTTAAAATAATTATTACCTGGAGGGAAGCAACTACTGTGCACATCTCTCTTTTACTGATAAAAGGAGCTTACCTTATAAGCTTTCCCTGCGTAAAGCTTCTACACAAAGAAAGATGGATTTATTTGGGGTTTTGATCCCTTTTAGCAATTAATTTCCTGGGTGCTGAACCCTAGAACTGAGTCCTCAGAGAGCTGCAGTGGTTCAGTATCTACACTGCTCAGCAGGGGGAGGGATCTCCAACTCTCTTCTTTGTCTGTGGGAGACCAGAGGATCTGGCCCAGAAAGGACAAGGTGGTGAGGAGCCTCATAGAGCAAGGTAGGCAGGCATCAGTGGCATAATCAGCACACCAAGGAACAATCCCAAGGGGACTTCTGTGACTGCACCCTGTCACAGGGATAATTAAGCTAGTTTGGGCAAGCCACCAATAAGAAACCAAATAAGAAAAAAGGTCAGCAATAACACAGAGCTTTTGGTCCTGAGAAATAAGATAGATAAGTAAAGAGGAGAGAATGTAGCACAAGTAAAGAGATTAAGAAGATTAAGTTCAGCTGCGGAGACAGAGTTTAATATGATGGCAGGTTATCGTCCCCTTATTCCATCAACTTGTCAGGTCATCATACAAACACTGCCATCTACATCTGTCCACGGCAGCACAAAAGTCCACCTGCTCAACATCTTGTTTGATGCAATCCATTCATTTGCAGGTCATCCCAAAGGAAATTTCAGAGCTAATTAGAAATCAAAGATTAGACAGAAAGGGTGAGGTGGAGGATAAAGAGAAAAACTGGAGAATGCTCAACAATTTAAAACACTGGTCCTGGAAAAATACCGAAAGAAACTAAAAATATGAAAATCAAGGACTCTGGCTTGCAAGATCACCCAGCCAAAGACATTTTACATTCTGTTAATTTTGGACCAACCATCTGAAGCAGAACTCAATCCTCCTCAGTTCTCCCAATATATAACCAGTACTCCACAAACAAAATTCAAAATAGTAATATGTATTTCAACTTAGGCAGACAAAGACTTTATAGAAAATACCTCATTATTTAAGCCCTAGAAGTTCAAACCCATATTTGTACAGGAAGGCTGCAAAAAAAAAAAAAAGGAAGTGACATTCCATACCAAGATAATAAATGTTTGGTGCCACCCATCCTCCATATGGCAGTTCCTGCAAGTGATTTGAGGCTTCATGATTGCCCCCAATAAAGATTGTGAGAACAGGAGCTTTCTTCTCTCCAGAATAATACCTATTTCAGAAAACAGAAAAACATCACTTTAACAATACACAAATGATATTCCAAAATGTTTACATGCTTAAACAGCAGAAGAGACTGGGCCTACATGAGCCCACATGGAAGGGCACGTCTACACTGGGAAGTTATTTCAAAGTAACAAGATGAGGGTCAACACAGCAAGACCGTTATTTCAAAACAACATGCTTGTTATTTTGAAATAATAACCCCCTGCTTGTGATGAGGAATAATGCCTTTTTGAAACTGTTATTTCAGGAGTTATTATTTCAAAAGTAACTTATGTTGGATTATTTTTTTATTTTGAAAAGATAACCATCAGATGATTTTATAGTTCCAAACCAGCATTCATACATGTAACCTTCAGAAAGCATCAGCCTCACAATCTGCTTTGTGCAAAGAGAGCCCCAAATCTTTCTGTTTAACAGGCCTACGCACCACAGGAAGTTGAAAAGCAGGCAAAAATATTGAGGAAAAATTTGCCAGTTTAAGCCTTGATGGCTGCAATCATGAGGTTTCCACAAAAACACTGAAAGCAAAGCTACTGTTATGTACTTGTACATACAAGCGGCAATGCTCAGTTTTGGATTGTGTTTCCATAAAGGGAACCCCGCCTCCACCAGCTCACTGAAGAATTAGGGATGTTAAATATCAGTTAATTAAATAGTCGATTAACCTCATGAATTCTTATCAATTACTCATCTATTCTATAATTCCTGGGGGTGGGGCCAGCAGCCAGTGCGCTCTGGCCTCAATCCCAAGAAGGTTCCTCCCATTCCATGTTGTTGCTGCTGCTGTATCAGAGGCAGCAAGCGCAGGGTGCCATGCAGGAGCTGGTACATGAAGGGAGCCAGTTTAAAAACCAGTGGGGTTTTTACAGAGGGGTGTCTGAGCTCCCGGACCCAGCGCAAGGCAGGACTCAGCCAGACTGCCTGTCCCCTAATACGCTTTTAATGCAGAACTACAGCAGGAGTGGGTCCCAAACCCAGCACAAGCCAGGACTGAGCTGGGCTGCTGGCCAGCCTGCTAAAAAAATGTACTGGCAAAGAGTGTGTGTGTTGAAGAGGGGAGGGGGGGGAGAATGCACGTGGTCTGTAGCATGAATCAGTTAACAGACTGACATCCCTGAGCAAAAGCGACGAGGAGTCCTGTGGCACCTTATAGACTCACTGAAGTGTAGGAGCATAAGCTTTCGTGGGCAAAGACCCACTTCGTCAGATGCATGTA